AATGGAATATAATTTAATAGAGACCAAACGGCTAAGCCTCTGTTTGACCCCTATTTTATTGAAATAAAAATGGGTGAAATAGTATTTTTTTGAAAAATGAATGGTTGAAAAGAAAAGAAATTTTTTTTGTTTACATGTAATATTATTTTATGAAAGTTTGTGTGATTAAAAATAAAAAAGAGAAAAATGAAATGAAAATTAATGAAGGCGAAACAAGGACTTTACTTTTTACACAGGGTAAATACATAGAAAAGAAATTTCATTAATTTTTTAACCTTCGAAAAATAAATTCGGCCTGGGGCAGATTTGAGCTCTAGGCTTCGAATTTATTATTATTATTATTATCACCTTCAATAATGATTTAGGCTAGGGACCTTTCCCTCCGCCCCTTAATAATAATAATAATAATAATAATAATAATAATAATAATAATATTATTATTATTATTATTATTATTATTATTATAATCACCTTCAATAGTGATTTAGGCTAGGGTAGGCCTGCCCCTCTCCCCCCCACCCCACCTCCCAAGCTAGATAATTGATATATGAATGAGCCTTGCTTCTTATACTGAAAAGCAAACAGAAGGTTCATAGAATACACACAATGGAGGCGGATTTTTTTTATAATATTTTATTTTTATGGGGCCCACGTTCATGCGAGTGTCTGTAATGATTCTATGAATGGTTATTCTGTATAAATGAAAAATTCCTATATGAATAGAACTGAACCTAAGAATTTTATAGTTTTATAAATTTTATTAGAGATTAATCTTCTTGATGTTTATGATGAATTTCCAAGTTTTAGATATATTTCAAAAAAATTAATGAGAATTTTTTTTTTTATTATTATACTATATAGCAGAATAGGACACATTGTAATCATTTGCCAAAAACTTTGACGCACAACTACTAGTAATGTAGACATAAATTTTGCTTGTACTTGAAGGCCACTTACAATTATTTTGGTTTTAATTGTGAAACGTATACGTGTTGAGTTCATGTTTGGTTTAGATAAAAAATTAAGTTAAAGTCAATTATTAATTTTAATTATATATTTTTAAAATTTTTATTATAATCTACTAAAAATATGGTTTTCAGCAAAACCAAACGAGGTCTTAGGCAGTGAATGACATTGTTTTTGTGCATCAATTTATATAAGTCATTTTTTATTTATTTTTTGGACACAGAATGTGTTCTCGTGACATAAAAAATTTCTGCATGCTACCAAATTGTAAAATAAATAGGACATGCGACGTTGTTTTATCAACTTTCGCATTTACAGCCCTTGTTTGATACCATTAAAATATTTAATTAAAATTTAAGTTAAAGTTAATAATTAGTTTAATTATACAATTTATGACACTCGTAATGTTTCAAGAATATATTCCATCAATTTTATTAAAATTTACTAAAAATCTAATTTTAATCTAAATCAAACATGACATAATTTTACAAGTATCTCTGCTCTATGATACATAACTCAAGTAGTTTTTTTTGTTAATAAAATTTACCCAATTTATGTTTTTCTTTTCTTAGGAATGTATAGAAATAAAATTAAAAAGAATGTTAATTATAATTATAGCCTCAAAAAATTTAAGAAAAAATCTCACCTTTATCTCTAGAGATTAAATATAGCCCCTATTCAATTTGGCTAAAAAAAATGAGATTTTTTTTTATAGATTTGATAAAAATTAATAAAATATGTGATTTAAAAATTAATAAAAGTTGTGGTTCCCATAAAATGTGTGAATGAAAATTAATATGGAGAAAAAAAAAATTAAAAAGTTGGGTTAAATAAGGATATAATATTTCACTTACCTACTTATACGAAATAAAATGACTTTCTTGTTCATTGACGATTGACGACATTTTCCATTGAAATAAAAATAACATGAAGGCAATTGCATTGCACAAACAAAGATAACGATCTTTTGGACGGATTCCGTCCAAAGGACCATTTACACCACATTTGAAATGATTGAACCAAAAAATACAGTTTTTGCAAAAATTGAGACTATTTCGATCACTTTCCTTTTAAAATTTATGTAAACCTATAAATAAACTCTTAAATAATACATAGTTTGACAAATTTATAAATGCTTTAAAAACAATAATAATGAGAATAATAGCAATTCTTATGAGATATATGAATAATAAGGAGTAACAACTTATTTTATTTTTATAAATTAATAATGAACTTTTAGTCCGTTGGTATTTTTTAAAATAAAAATTTTAAATTCTCATACTCATTTTTAACCATATATTCACAAAATATAATATTTTGCACATAATCCAATTTTTTTTTCAATTTTATAACAACACATTCTTCAAAATATTATTATTCAAGACATTAATTTTTTTCTCAATATTGACCATCAAACTGGGGCTTAATAAGGATTAATATTTACAATTTTAGTAAAAGTTAATGTTTGAATTTGATCAATTCCTTGTTTGGGCTCTATTTTATTCAAAATATATTTTTCTTTCTTATTTTGAACCATACATTCTACAATAAATAATATTACATGTAAATTTAAAACATTTTTTCATTTTTAATCAAACATTCTTCGAAAAATCTTTGTTTCAAAATACATTTTTATCTAAAATTTGATTTTAATTAAATCTAAGAGTCTATCCAAGAAATTTTTTAAACATGATATGTTCGATCTCTATTTTAAAGAGTCGGCCTCTTACTTCAAGAGACTCTTTAAACTAAAATTTTAATTTAAAAGAGCATTTAAAATATTTCAATTTTCAATACACGTAAATAATATAATAATTTAGAGAAAATTTAGTTAAATAAAAGATAAAGAAAAATAATAAATATTTTTTTAGAGTAATAAATTAAGTATAAAAGCATTTTCAAAAAACTTTTTAAATATGATATGTCCTCTATTTTAAAGAGTCATCCTTCAAAATTATGTACCAAGAGATTCTTTAAATTAACATTTTAATTTAAAGAGCGGGTTTGGCTCTCCAATAATTATATGCATTCAAAGTATTTTCAATGTAGAAAAATAATAAAATAATTTAGATAAAATCTAGTTAAAATAAAGGATAGAGAAAAATATTAAATATTTTTTACGAGTAGTAAAATTAAGTGTTAAATATAAAGAGTTTGTTGGAGTACTTTAAAATTTTAAACTCTATAATTTTATAGATACTTTCTAAAAGATAAAACATGTTCTTTAAAAATAGAGAGTTTTTTGGAGGTACTCTTATATATAAAAATGGGAAAATTGTAGTAGGGGTTCCTAACATTTTACTTTTGCAGAATTTACCCTAACCTTCATTTTTGTGCCACTCATAGTCCCAAATCTTTCAAAAACATGCACCTGAGATTCAAATGAATAAAATTTGATCGTTAGTTGACTAGAAATGTCAAAATCTGACCAATTTGAATCAAATTAAAAAGGGTATAATGGTGCTTTGTATTTTTCTAAATATTAACAATTAAAATAATTAAAATAAAAACAAAAGAAAAGTAAAAAGTCTATTACCAACCCCAAACCCTACCCTACCCTAAATGCATCTTCGCCATTATCTCCTTCATCTCTTCATTGGAAAACATTAGGGAAATGCCACCACACCACAATCTCTATTTTTCGTTGCCAACACCATTTGGTAACCTGGTCTCCACCACTGCTACAATTTTTCCCAAGAAAAATCACCATCCAGTATGAACTATAGATCCACTAATTGGCTGATTCGAGGAAAATTGATGAAAATTCATGAGTACATCTTGTTCGTCATGATGAGTAGAAGACAATGGTGGTGGTGCACGACCGTCGTTTGTAATGTCGGAGCTGAAGTTTGGGATTGAAGGTGCATGGTTCATTGCCTTTGGACTGTTGCCGTTTTATTTCTGATTTTAAAGCTTTGTTTCATGTTACAAGGGTATCAATAGGTGTGTATTGAGGTGCTTGGTCAACTTGGAAGGTGGGTTTGGCATGGGTATCATTGGAAGTGAGGATTCCGTCCATTTTTTGGTGCGTGGTAGCCTGTTTTGGGTCGAATTTTCAACCAAATTTGACGAAGTTGTGGTTGGTGGTTGGGTGGATTGTGAAGAATGAATGAAGGCTTTCCGATGGTATGGATATCTGGTGATTTGGGCGACGGTTGGTCGGTGTTTAAGTGATTCAAAGTAGGCTCAAATATGGGTGCGAGTGTGGGTGTGGCGGTGGTTGTGACGAGGGTCGATTAGTTTTGGTGGAGACGGCAGCGACAATGAGTTTTCTAATTTTGGGTTCGATTTTGGTGTGAAGAAGATAGGTTTGATTTTTTATTTTTCTGTTTTTGTTGTTTGATTTAGTTATTCCTTATTTTATAAATGTATTTTTATTGAAGAATATAAAGTTATTATAGGATTGAGGAAAATGCCTTTACTTAAAATGGTCAAAATATCTAATTGTGATATTTTTCTAGTCAATTAACGGTCAAATAGACATTTTCCATTCATTTGGACCCAAAGTGCATATTTTTGAAGGGTTTGAGACTGTGATTGGCATAAAATGAAGGTTAAGATAAAATCTATAAAAAAGTAAAAAGTTAGGGGTCGCTGCTACATTTTTCTCATATAAAATGCTTATTGGAGTACTTTCAAATTTTAATTTTGTAAATTCATAGGTGATCTTTAAATGGAATAAACTCCTTGTACAGACCCATTTGCACAGGGTCTGTACGAATAGCATTTCTCTCTTTAAATTATAGAATATATTTTTTTTTAATTATTATTAAAGAGATATAGAGTATTGGAAATCATCTAAGCCCTCGTTTGGTTATGATTTTTCACTCAAAAAAATTAATTTTTTGACTATTATTTTTTTAAATCGGCTTGTCACTTTTTACTTTAACACTCACAAGTTTTTCTCTATAACGATAAAAAAAAAATTGATTCTATAGGCCCTAAATCTATGAAAAAAATTGATCCTATACGTGGAGCTCAGTTCTAACTCTATAAAGCCTTTTTTCTAACATACGGGCGAGGTCGAAAGTTGTGGGGCCCGTATTGTACAGATCTGACCATCGTAATCTATCTTCTCCGCAATAACTATCTACCGCCATTCGTGAAATGAAGTAGAAGTTTCACTATCTTCTCTCGTAATTGCTCTCATATCCTCTCTTTTAAATCGCTACTGCTGACATTTCAAAGAATCTTAGTCCTTTTCTCGATAATTTTTGCTCAACTGCATGGATTCTTTTTCGCCATCACAACTCTAAGCAGCTTTTCTTCTCCGATCAGCAAAGGGGTTGCAGGGTCACCATGGGAGCCTGCAGCTCAAAGCCTCATCAAAAACGCAATCCCTATTCCAAAAGAGAAACTTTGGAACTACCGCAAATCCCGGAATCTACCATTAATCTCGAAACTCCGGTGAGAGAAGATGGCGTCGAAAAAGCAGGGAAGAAGTCGCCGTTCTTCTCATTCTACAGCCCGAGTCCCGCCCGTTCCTTCTCTTCCAAGAAATCTTCCCCGCCGGCGGCTGGGGGGACACCGCAGCCGAAGATATTGAAGATGCCATTTCCACCGCCGTCGCCGGCGAAGCACCTGAAGGCGATGCTATTGAGGAGGCGTGGCGGTGACGAGGCAGCGAAGTCGAGAGATAAAGGGGTAATGGAGGCGGAGAAGGGCTGCGAGACGGCGGAGTTGAATAAAAGTTTTGGGTTTCCTATGCAGTTCACGAGTAGGTACGAGGTTAAGGAAGAAGTGGGACGAGGACATTTTGGGTATACATGTTCTGCCATTTCCATGAAAGGGAAGCTTAAAGGCCAAAAAGTTGCTGTCAAGACTATTCCCAAGGCAAAGGTATATATGATTTATCAATAATACTATATAATACTTATGGTTTAAAGTATTGAGATTTTGGTTCCCTCTTAAAGGCCAGTCGTCTTATACTTCTTTAAATACCTTCTTTATGTTAAATGCCTACGGTATTTAGGAAATTTTCGTGATAATACTTGTACTGAACTTTCTTTTAAAGTCGTGGTTTTGTTCACAAATTCTTGTTGGTAGTTTATTGGATTTCCGTGAAGAATATCTATGAGTTTACAATTCAAGATGACTATTCACAAGTTTTACAAGATTGCAAAAGGACTATTCTTGTTGGTAGTTTATTGGATTTCCGAGAAGAATATCTATGAGCTTACAATTCAAGATGACTATTCACAAGTTTTACAGGATTGCAAAAGGACTAGATGATGAACTGTCGATCACGAGTTGGATTGTCCGGCTCTTACGCAGATTAATGTAAGAAATGCACTGGTGTCTTGACCGGGTCTATATGGTTCTTTGTCACATAATCGAGGGATTAAGATTTCATTTATCGCATAAGGTCCTATGATACGCCCTTTTGTTGAGCAGGGATGTTGGTATTGAAGAATCTGATTATTATATGGTCAAGGACCTTGCTCAATAAGTGATCTTGGTTATAAACCTTGCTCAATTGAGAATTCAACGTATGCTTATCTCCGATCAACTCATACCTCTGAGCCCTCTATCCAGTCCCGAATTCAAGCTAATTATATTTTGCCTCTTCCTCAGAGAAAGACAATCAAACAATTCCCAATCGTGGTCCTCCACAACCCCATTTTCACGGTTTAGGGACCCGAACCTGGGTGATCTATCCATGAGAGTATGAAGGTTGGGTGAAACAAAGCATGAATGGTATAATAAATTTATTGATTCCTACGAGACCAAATGAAAGATAAGATGGTACATAATCTTAGTTCCTTCTGTCATGTATGTAACCTTGGCAAGCTTCTTAAACTGTGATGGTGGGACTGAAATGAATTTTTCCTCAATAGGCTAGAATGATGTTTGTCTCTACTCATAGAATACAGGTTGATTGGACTACATCTTTTGTTTCTAAAAGCCCTTTGGGAGCTAAAATAGCAGTATTTTAAGATTTTTTTGGATTTGTAATCTCCTTTCGTATATGAAAAGATAGCTTCTTGAGGTTTAAGTTCCATGAGGGTTTGAGGAGGAAATTTTATCTGTTTTTTCTTCTTTAATGAACACAGGACAGGAGTAGATGAGGTAATTGTTGAACCACCTTTAGAAAGTCCAAATTCACTTGTAATAAGAAACAGCTGAAAAAGACTAAAAGAAAGGGCCTCAGCTATTGGAGAAGAAACGTGTTTATTTATTTAAATTTATTCAACATGTCCACTCAAGTGTATGCCAAATTTGTTTATATTAAAAATCTAACATTCATAATTTTAAGAAATGGTGGCTGAAAAACTTGAAATTAAATCCTCTACGCACACTAATACCAGCACTTTGAATTATCTCATTTAAAACCCTAAACGTGTTCCCTCTATAATAGCTTATGTTCTCAGATGTGGTTCAACAGTGATCTGTGCTTGAGTTAATTGCTATAGCTAGTTATAGATCTCAAATTGGATGCTTTGTTGTTGTATGCGATTTCCATCTACAGGCTGCATAGCTTGCTAATTAGTGCTCTCTGGTTCAAACTGCTCTTTCTTTCGTCACACTTTAAGGTTTTTTTTTTTAACCATTCAACGGTATGCTATTCAAGATGTAGTCAACTATTTCCATTTTATTAATAGATAAGAATAATGCTATGCAGCCTCATCGACGTTACAACTCTTGTTTAGGTGGTGCTAAATGATAGGCTGAATGAAATATGAAATTAAATGTCTTATTTAATTTGAGCTATCATTTAATACCACGTTAACGTCAACTAGACTGTGGTTCAGACATTTAATTTCATCTATCATTTAACACCACATTAATGTCACCTAGATTGGGGTTGTAATCCCAGTGGGGCTAAATATCATTACTCAACGGATAAGGCTTCACATATTTCCTATGTGTGACTTCTTGCTGCTATACTTTATTTTTTCTTATGCCGTTTCGGTTTTTTTCCATGTTTTGTTGCCAGATGACTACAGCAATTGCTATTGAGGATATAAGAAAGGAGGTTAAAATATTGCGTGCCTTGACAGGACATAGCAATCTTGTACAATTCTATGATGCTTTTGAAGATAATGATAATGTCTATGTCGTAATGGAGTAAGAATGGATTCGTTTAAGATTTTCTATTATCTTAGATATTGGCCTCTTTGACTATTCTGATTATTACCTTCTTTGTAATTGAGTAAATGGGTGTGGCTTGAGGCAGTTTAAGAACATTTTTTGGAAGCGTTTTTCATCAATTTGAGTTTTTAGAAAAAAGTTTATATGGTGAGAAACTCCAGTTCAATACTAATTTAAATCATTTTTCAATTAAATAAATTAATTAATTGATAGGAAAATATGCTTAAAAAGAATTTAATTTACCCAATCAAATTGAGTTATTTAATAGTGAAAAAAGAGAATACTGTGTATCATCAAAAGATTGCCACTACATGGAACGTTAATTTCCTCGCTTGTGATTTTCAGGCTGTGCCAAGGAGGAGAGCTTCTAGATAGAATACTTGCAAGGTGTTTTTTTGATAACGTTCTTTTAAATGTTAACCGCCATTTTGTATTCATAACCATAATCAGCATTTTTTGTATTTTTATTTGCTTTATTAGAGGTGGGAAATACTCAGAAGATGATGCAAAGGCTGTTATGGTACAGATTCTAAATGTTGTAGTATTTTGTCATTTCCAGGGTGTGGTGCACCGAGATCTTAAACCTGAGGTAACAAAAGTGGTTTCCCTTCTCGTACATGGTGATTACTTCTTGGCTTTCGATGCATTTGATGCCTATTGATGGTCCACTTTTGTGCATGCTAACTTTAGGATTATGATTTCGTACTTTCTTTATGTAGTCATTGTCAAACTTATAATCTTCTGTATTCAGAATTTTCTGTTTACCTCCAAGGATGAAAATTCTGAGTTGAAACTTATCGACTTTGGCTTATCAGATTTTGTTAGACCAGGTTAGTCTTCTATAGCTGGAGTCCTAGGAGCATAATTTTTACATTATCTTTTAAGATTTGGATTGGATTCAATAATAACAATCATATGCAGATGAAAAGCTTAATGACATTGTTGGAAGTGCATATTACGTCGCACCTGAAGTTTTACATAGATCATACAGTACAGAGGCCGATGTGTGGAGTATAGGCGTAATAGCTTATATTTTGTTATGTGGTAGTCGCCCATTTTGGGCTCGAACAGAATCCGGCATATTTCGGGCAGTCTTGAGAGCTGATCCAAGTTTTGAGGAAGCCCCTTGGCCTTCATTATCGTCAGAGGCAAAGGATTTTATCAAACGCTTATTGTACAAAGACCCTCGAAAACGGATGACGGCTGCTCAGGCTCTATGTGAGTCTCTCTCTCTCTCTCTCACTATCATAGTTTTGAAACCTGATCTGTCTATCAAGGTCACCAGGTCATGGGTCCAAATGGTTGGTCACCAGTTTAATTGTTGGGTCGTTGGTTAGAGTTAAGAAGCTTATTTTCCTCATTTTTTATACCTTTTATAATCTTTCTTTTGCAGGTCATCCATGGATCCGAAATTACAATAACGTGAAAGTACAACTCGATACTCTTATATTCAGACTAATGAAAGCGTATATGCGATCATCTTCTTTGCGTAAGGCTGCCTTAAGGGTGTGTATATAATTGAACAAGTAATGATGCAAATAATTACATTAGGCTCTACAATTTATCATATAAACCTTTTATATGTCTATAATCTCTATTGACTTTTTAAGGGGGTGGGTCCTTGTAAATTTTATCAAGCTCTAGTTAAATTTTCCTTTAAGAAACTTAGTTGATGGAAGGGCTCACGGTGAAGTTGCAAATCCTTTAAACATATACACTCATTTCTTCCTTCTTAGTAGTTGTAACTGAAGAAAGAGAGTAATTGTATTCAAAGGATAACGTGCACTTCAGAGCTTCACAATATATCTTTAGAAATTTTCTGTCATTTTATTTTGCTCTTAGTTCTCAGAATTTTTCAAAAGTTAGATTTCATAACACGATATTTACAACGTGCGGTACACTTTCTTCTACCGTGCTTAATGAATTTTACTGTTCTAGTTTTGTGGTTTCCTGAACTTTAATGTAATTTGTTCACATCTCCTGGCAGGCTCTATCTAAGACATTGACTGCGGACGAACTCTTTTATCTTAAGGAGCAATATGTATTGTTGGGGCCAAACGAAAGTGGTGGCATAGCTTTTGAAAATATAGAAGCGGTTAGTTTATTTGATTTTCTCGCCCTCAAAACCAGTAATCACTCTCTCTCCCAACTCAGTTGAATAAAGCATTTCCCATTATCTGGTTCTAAGCAGGCACTGATGAAAAATGCTACCAACATCATGAAGGAGTATCAAATTCCCCATTTCCTTGCATCAGTAAGTATGGATCGCTTCTTTTTAGGTGCCTGTGCTCAATCTGTGTTTTTTGTCGAAACTTGAAATCCATGGATTAATGCAGTTTATTTGTTGTTCAACGACAGCTAAATGTGCTTCAATATAGAAGGATGTATTTTGAAGAATTCTGTGCAGCTGCTTTAAGTGTTCATCAGTTGGAGGCACTCGACCGATGGGAGCAACATGCTCGTTCTGCATATGAGAATTTTGAGAAGGATGGAAACAGGATTATTCTCATCGAGGAACTTGCATCAGTAAGTCGAGTTTTCTGATTTTAGATTATTAGGGTGTATTTGGTGTGCATTTCTATTTTTTGTTTACAGTTTTGAATTCATTTTCTATTTTCTGCTTCAAGGGATTATTTTAAGATTCCAGAAAAAGCGTTTAGTTTGTCATTCGAAAAAATTATTTCTCAAAACAAAAAAAGTAGAAGACGCACTTGGTTTAAAAATTTTAGAAATAATTTTATGACATTTTTTCATTTAATTTGATTATTTAGTAAAACATATCAATTTTATGCTGATATGTGATCAGAAAACATAAATTTTAAAGTTGGTATATCTCCAATAATTGCATCGAAATCATATGTAAATAAGAAATTGAGAGGGAGAGGGAGAGATTGATAGATTGGTATTTGTATTTGGGTAGGTTTTGTATGATTTTATTAATTATTTTACTTTGAGAAATATTTAAGTTCTTTTTCCTTGTTTTGAGCTTCTTGAAAACACTCAAAACGTCAAAAAGTCATTTTGAGTTTTGTGTTATAAAATTTTCCTTGTTTTGCAAAACATGTTTTAAAAAATAACATACCAAATACATTTTGAGTGTTTTAGAAAACTGAAAATTGCCTCAAAACGGCAAACCAGATGCACTCTCAGTCTCTTATTCGATCTCACTAATCACATCATCTAAGAGTTCAGGCTATTAGAAGCTACAAAATTATTTGTTATAATTTATCTTAAAACTTCAGGAACTTGGACTTAGTCCTTCAGTGCCAGTCCATGCTGTTCTCCATGACTGGATAAGACAAACTGATGGAAAACTAAGCTTCTTTGGGTTTGTCAAATTGTTGCACGGCCCATCCACCCGTTCAACGTCGAAGGCTCAGTAAAAGCTTAAAGCGCCTTTACAGAGCAAAGGTTGCACGAAATGGAACCGGTCTCGAGGCATAGCATTTGAGCAAGAATGGCACGAACTATAAGCTTCAACTCTGCGATTACATGATATCATGTCCTTATTTAGCATATGACCTTTCCTTCAATACTTTGTAACTTGAAATAGTCTTTCTATTTGTGATTGTTTGATAGAATAGTAATAATGGCTCGATGAAATTCTTCGTGGATTCAAAAGAAACGAAGGCCAGAAATTCCAATGGAAACTGTCTTCTTGATTCTTTTGCATCTCAAAAATAACAAATAGAAACCTAACAGATCTAGATTTTGAATCTTCTTGAGTTATTCGTTGTATTTCCCACGTTGGCTGATCTCGTCTTTTTCATATTGTACATCATCATTTCTTCAACTTTCGATTCAGATTCTATCCCGTCTCTTCATCGTCCTTGCTCTTTAAAGCTGTTGTAGATTCATTTATTATTATGTCATTTATGTTCTTCGCCTTCATGTTTGTTTTGCAGAATTCACTAATCAACACCTTTCTCCACCGAGTACATATGGTGTTGATACATTTGTTGTGCTTGTATGGGCACAAATGATTTGTGGTTTTCAAGTGTGGATCGTACCGTTCGAATTAGAAAAATTCCATATTTGTTTATTGAGAGCATTTCTAGTGGTGGTGTAAATTAATATTTCCAAAATTACTCTGCATTTTGATGGATCTAAATTCAAATCTCCAAAATAGAAATATCTAATAAATTCACTTTTTGCGATGTTAAAAAAGAAATAATAATATGTTGAAAAATGCAATTTGCATTTCTCGATTTGAGAGATTTTTAGTCACTTTGAAGACAACTTCTATTTTACATCATCACTGGAGATGTTCTTATAGAATGGATATGGGTGTTAATGATGCACGATCTCATCCACAAAGGAAGCGCCTTACCAGCAACATGTATCTCCTTCAGATCAATATTGTAATATGGACTGTTACCACCCAAAACTAGAGTAAATGCATGAAATGTAACGAGCATATTTTGTTAGGAAAATACCTAACAAATTGTTTATGATATTGTAACAATTTCTCAAAACATACCTGCGATCAGGATCTGAACGGGCAAAAACCATGTCACTGGGAGGGACAATTCCACCAAGAACCATTGCTCCACCACCCACATCCATACCACCATAGCATAGGGAGAATGAATCACTAATAACACCTTTATCAACAAGCTGATCCACAATACTAAGATCTCCATGACCCAGACCCATAATGCCATCAGCATGTTGACTGTAAAGGTCACCTGTTTCCACATTTTCACAGCCAAAAACAGCTCGTTGGGGTGGAAGTTCACTTTGGTTGCCAAAGGAAACAATGTCCTGGCCCAACACTCCGCTGCTAGAACTCATTTCAGCATATTGCCTCTCATATGTACATTGCTTCCTGTCATTATCGCAGCTGCAATCAATATTGCACTTTACAGGTTGATAGGTGCTCGACAGTTCTGGCTGAAACTTTGGATCCTATTGAAAGAAAAAGTTCTAACTGCAATTATTCAAAGAACATATAAACAAAAACAAAGTGCAGATTTCACATAAAAAAATATAAATAAATAAATAACATGAGCTTGTAAAGCAAAAGAAGCTTGAAAAGCAACCAAAACACATCTTGCCAATTGTATAAATTCTGAGAGCCTTGCCAGTGATGAGAGCCAAACTCAAGGACACAATCAATTCACACATAAAAAGTAGACAATGACACAGACTAACTTATAAATGCAATAATAATAATAGATACTCTTAGCTCAGAAAAGTAAAAGACATAAGAAGCACCAAAAATTGAATAAGAGAGAACAAGAAGAAAATACTATCATCCATAATCATAAGCAAATTATAAAACTATGTATGTAAAGTTCCACCCTGATTCGCTGAATGAAAATTGCTTGACCTGAGTTCCATTGCCACTTTCTCCCACAAAAATGATCATCCATTGATATGGGGTCCCTTCATCAATGTCACTCTCTTTGGTTTTGAATTTCCTCTCTTTTTAATTTTGGCTACTTTCTTTCCAGGAAGTCATCTCAATTACTCTAGGCAATGAAGATCAACGTAAGGGTCTTTAAAGAGAAAATTCATATGCACTGTGTAAATAAAAGGAGAACACTTTTAAAATACCTTACTTTCACAAGAAGTATAAAACCCCCATCAATTAAAATTACCATCTAGATAGGAACAAGATGTAATAAACTCTGAATTATGGTTGTTAAGGACAAATATGAAAAACTACACCGTAGCAACATCTCAAGTTTCATTTTAAAAAATTGAACGGTTTTGCCCTCAGCAAAAGCAACAATCCAAAAAGTGAGGAATGACCTGATGCTTGCCACACTGTTCGCAGCTAGCACAGGGAACATAAGTAACCGTACTTCCCGTGTCAACTATAAGAGCAAATCTCTGCGGAGGTGTCCCGATCCATAGTCGAGTCGTGTAATACCTGCACATCATAATCAACCCATCCCACCCATCAGATCATATCTCATACATAAAATCATAAATATTCTATCCTGAATCAGGTGTACATGAACTCAGGCTGGATCCAGTTAACAAGTCAACGCAAATCAGGTGATGGAGGTGAATTCATTAAAATTTATGGATTTACATTTAAACCAACGGAGAAAAAGAAACACGACTGACCCATTAATGAGAAGATCATCATGGAGAGGCATTCGGGCGTTGGGGGGGCGCCGAGTCTGGAGGTGGCGCCTGGAGTGTTTGGAGGCGGAATTGACGAACTTATTGCTGTCATTATAATACAAAGGCATGACCATGGTGGTGGTGGTAGTATCCAGGCCGTGATTGAGGATGAGCGGAGTATACTTAGTATTAATCATCAAATCCTGATGCAAAATCGAAAGACAAGATTCAACGGCAAAACTGAGGAGGATCATTGAGACGGCGACCGTGAAGGTGGCGAACGGCGCCCGTTCCATTTGGGTCAGGTGGTGGGTTGCCTCGGGCGATCTCACAAATACCTAACTGAATAATCACTATTGAGCAGCCTCCCTCTCTGGTTCGATCTCGCTCTCCGTTTTAAGTCTCTGCCACACAGATATTCTTTCTTTCGGCCATCTCTGCCTTTCAGATATTCCTTTGATTCAGCCGAGAACAAGCATTTTTAAGATACAGCTGTCTGATTCAGTTAAAAAATTAAATACAAAATTAATTCAATTAAAGCCAACAACCATAAAGCATATTTCATTAAATTCACAATTTTGTAACTTTTGGATCGCACATTTTAACAATTTTTATTTAAATCTATTAAAAATCTGATTTAATAATAATAAAAAAAAACAAATAGGGGTTAGAAATAAGCAAGCTTTAGTTTGACAAAATTAATAAATATTATCCACGAATAGTCAAACTTTATTTTTAATCACACATTTATCTATTTGCAAAATCTTCCTAAACGACGCTAAATTACTAAAACGTCTCTAAATCTATTGCTAGAAATAAGCAAGCTTTAGTTTGACAAAATTAATAAATATTATCCACGAATAGTCAAACTTTATTTTTAATCACACATTTATCTATTTGCAAAATCTTCCTAAACGACGCTAAATTACTAAAACGTCTCTAAATCTATTGCGGTTCATGACAATAACATAGCCATTCCTTCCCTTTTCCAAAATTTAAAATCCACATTCTTAGCATTAATTTCTTATTTTTTGCCTTTCTCTCTAATGTTAATTATATAATTATGTTTTTTTTTATTATTTTTCCTAGTTTCAATATTATACAAAACCAAATTTTTTTAATTTCAAAATGTTTTTACTTAACTTTTTTAGAGAGTGATTTCATAAAATCACATTGATGTGATATATTGATTTTTCATTAAAAAAAGGAAAAAAATTAAAATTGATGTAAAATATTTGCTACAAAATGAACTAAAAAGAAATCTAAGATATTGTTGATGGTAAAAAGTGTCACTTTTTTACTCAATTTAATTATATTCTATTTAGAGCATGTTTGGTACAGCTTAAAATCCAATTAGTGTTTCGTGAAGCACTTTCCGTTACGGTGACCATCGGCCATCATCGTCTCGCACGCAGCAATGAAAATCCGATTCTCATGTGGATTCCATTGGGCGTGCTTGCGCGTTGGTGATACTAGTTGAGTCATGCTGGGAAAAGGGTTGGAGGTGGACGAATTTACATTTCCACCTGTCTGCGACAAGAAACGGCGAAGACGAGTTCGTTAAATAAGTTGGGTTCAGTTCAAAATTGTGTGTTCTGTAGGGGCAACAAAAAATTTGGAACTGAAAACACTTACTGAGGGGACATATGGGTCCATGTTGTGAGCTCACAAGCTGTATTCCGGCAAGCAGGTTCGTCGTCGTCTACCGCCTAACACGAGTCCGTATTTGACGGGGAAAAAAACTCTCAGACAATAGGATTTGACGGGGAAAAAATTCCTTCTTTGTGCTACCAGAGCGCTAATTGAAGGAAAAAAATATTTACGACTAGATCTGGAAGTTCGTCGTCGGGTGTTTGTAGGGAGAGAAATATGCGAAATGTGAGGTGCCGGTGCAAGGAAAAAGGGGGAGAGAATCTTGGTAGTTGAGAGTGTGTAATCACGGGGGTAATATTGGAAAAATGAGAGTAAATGGCCTGTTGTTGTACTGCAAAGATGTCAGAATATTTCCATTAAAAAATTGTCCAACGGTGCAATTTTTGATCAGCAACGGTCCAAATTCAGCTTAAAATCACAGCTAGACAGGGCCTTAATAAAGCATTGAGTTATTCTTTATTTATTTGTGTGAAGATATTGTGATGTTGTAGTTGAAAATTGATTATCACCATTAATGTTTTCAATAATTTCTTCAAAAGAACCAAATATATGATTTTCAAGCTTCCTCGAAATTTATGGCTGTTCAATTGTCGAGTAGTGTCATCAAAACCGTCAAGTTAGACATCTAACTGTCGAATTTGACATTTACTGACTGTCAGGATAGACAATTTAATTGTTGACTTCGACACTTGAAAACTGTTAAAACCCTTTATTTTCCTTTCTGCAATTATATGGATCTAAATATTCGAAAACTCCAATTTAATGGTATTAAATGTTGATATATGAAATGTGCCAAATTCTCACATTTGCAATCCTAATATTTCAGATATAAGTCATCACTTGGGATTCATCATGTCGCGTAGGGAAAAGTTTATTCAACCCCCAATATAATACAAGTTTCTTAAACAACCGCTCGATGTCGTTGTTGATATTTATGTCCAATATTCCCCTGTTGCATTATATATTATCATTTTGTTGTCATTATTGTTTGCAATTTTTATTACTCCTTATATTGTCATTATTGAACTCTGCTACTGTTGAAAATAATTCAACCACACCATTCAACAACTGTCATCACAATCCACTAAAAATTCTAATTTAATTCCCACCAAACACCTTGTTTGTAAGTTGTAAATAGTGGACTCAATTGACGCATAAATGATAAATACCATTAATGTTAAATCATATTACTATGAAGAAAAGGCAGAGGACAGTTACAAAATTGGATTGAATTATTTACTACAATATTAGAGATGACGTACTTTTTGTACTTTTTAAATAAGTCGGCAATTCATCGTTTTCGTTATCTTTATTCTTTTTTATCATGTTTATAACCTATTGATTTCACTGAAGTGTACATATCTTGCATAATGGTATTTTTAACTTACAGTATTTCCCAGCATATTCTCAACCTACATTACTATTTTCAACTTATAGAGTCATTATCATTCTCACATCATTCGCAGACAGATAAATATATGTTCAACTTCACAAGTAAAATATGAATCCATAAACAACATATTGCATAACAGCTCGACAGTTCATCTGCCATTCTTGACAGATTGTTTCTGTCATTCTTGACACTTGGTCTGGAGTACACACAAAAAAATACACGCAAGAGGTATAAAGGACATGCTCATGCTGAAATTTTGGTAAAGGCATTCTCAAATGCATCCCTAAAAAGATAGACTGTACATAACTTATTACACAAGTACATTTTACTACTACCCACTACATTCGTTGTCGACATTTGAACCTTCTTCCCCACTTTCGTCATCAGAATATAAATTTTAAATCATGAGTACCATTTTATCATCAAGTTTTCTTTTGTAGTTGTTGGTAATCAATGATCCTGAGTACTTTTTGATCTTAAATGTAGCACTTGCCGGAAGAACATATCATTTAATACTATGGAACATTGAAATGTGTACAATGTAAATAGACGGCAGAGAAAACGATGAATGATTAAGCCCTCGTTTGGTAGCCATTAATTAGAAAAATGCATTCTTCCTATCAATTCAGCATGGGGTCCGCGCAATATTTACTCTCCACTTCAAATTCAAACTTTGCAAAATCTCACTTTTGCCCTTCTTGTCATTAATGGATTGTTTGTGCAACCAATTTGCACAATTGTGTCAAGCGAGAAAATGGAGGATGGCAAATGGTTTTCCAAGACACAAATTCCAAAACACGTAAAAATCAACATGGAATAAATTGGTAGAAGACAATTCAAACTTCACCCAAGTGACAACCAACCCAAGTATTTCTTTGTTTTGCACGATTTTTTTTCCTCGTCATAAGAAAGTGGGTACAACACAATCGAATCATCACCCACGTGACAACTAACAATTATTTTTCTAACATCACCAGGATTATTTCTTTGTTTTGCAAATCGATTTTTTTTCCGACGAAAAATACTCGTTGAAAGTAATCGGGTAAAAGACATTCGAAACACCACCTATGTGAAAAGCAACCCAATTATTTTTCAAACATCACCATGTTTATTTATTTGTTTTGTACATAGTTTTTTGTTCTATTCCAAAATTTTTCCAACGGTCTTTTAAAAAAATCGGGTAAAATACAATCCAAACAGCACCCGCGTGACAACGGACCCCATTATTTTCCAAACCTTACTGTGTTTATTTGTTAGTTTTTTACATATGGTTTTTTTTATAATTTTTATTTTAAATTTTTTTTTTTTGGTCCTATAATCGTTGTAACCAAAATTGGTAAAGGACAACCCAAACACTACCCACATCACAACCGACCCAATTATTCTCCAAACATGACCATACTTATTTCTTTGTTTTGCACATAGATTTTATTATTATTTAATTTTTTTTGTCTTATAATCATTATAAAAAATTTGGATAAGACTATCCAAACACCACCTATGTTACAACCGACCCAATTATTTTCCAAACATCACCGTTTTTATTTGTTTGTATTTTACATAGGTTTTTTTTTTAATGAATTTTGTGTTTTTCCTTTTTTTGTCCTATAATCGTTGTGACCAAAATGGATAAAGGACAACCCAAACACTACCCATGTCACAACCGACCCAATTATTATCCAAACATGATCATGCTCATTTCTTTGTTTTGCACATAGATTTTATTATTATTATTATTTTTTTCTTTTTGTCTTATAATCATTGTAAAAAATTGTGTTTAAGACAATCCAAATACCACCCACGTCACAACCGACCCAATTATTTTCCAAACATCACCATGTTCATTTCTTTGTTTTTCACATAGTTTTTTTTTTGGATAATTAGTACAAAACATCCCTACCTTTCGATGTTTTTATGGAAAACGTCCATACCTTTCATTTTTTTGCGGATTACACCCTTACCTTTACCTTTTTTTGCGCAAAACGTCCTTCTGTCAACTCTCCGTTAAAATGTTCCGTTAAATCAAAAAGATAATTAGCACAAAAGGTCCTTACCTTTCAAAGTTATTGTGCAAAACGTCCCTACCTTTTATTTTTAGCATAATTAGCAGAAAAGGTCCCTACCTTTCAATATTATTGTGCAAAACGTCCTTACCTTTCATTTTTAACATTTTTACCCCTACATCTCACCTTTCATTGTGCAAAAGGTCATTTTCATCCATTTTTTCAATAAAATGACGATTTTACCCTCCTATTGAAATAAAACAAAAAGAAAAAAAATAATAATTAATTAATTGCAATCATAGTTCTAAATCTTTCAAAATATTACAGATAAATCATAAATTCTCAACCACCATCATTTTCATAACCTATCAAGCTGTCAACTATAAATCCACATAATACCACCTTTCGGCCACCATGCCCACCGGACTCCACCA